AAATGTGAAAAGCAGACAAATTAAGTAGTGAGAAGTTATATTTTTAATCTCAAGTATTGTTAGTAACAAGCAAGCATTTTTATAAATAGGTTGATCATCTTCTAAACAAGAAGCACACAATGTCAGCAGTATTACAACTATAAAACAGATTCTGTCACCGTCTATAACTTACATTACTTCAGTGAAGTCTTTCAAAATTGACCTGTACTAAATTTCTGCATGATCTTGAGCTTATACATCATCTTATCCATTAAGTGTATGAACAAGGTTGAAAGCTGAATAAGACTGGGCCATACATCAGTGAAGCTCTGAGCAAGTTGGCACTCAAATGTTAACAGTAATAGGAGAAAACACTGACAAGAAAGCATATTCTGCTTCAAGGATTCTACAGGCACATTACAATGCAGAGTAAAGTATCAGCCTGTATTTCTGGGAATTGCATCACATAAACTCTATTTAACACATTTCAACTTCCACAAGTTTGACAAAAATGCCACACAGCTCTTACCTTAACTGAGATGGACAAGCTATTAGAGCCTGCAGGATAGCTGCAACTTTCTCAGAGCCATCTCCCTGCCACTGATATAACTGAGGAATACAGGCCTGTGCGAGCTCCCAGTCTCCCCGTTGCACACATTCACAAAAAAAAAAGAAAAGATGCTCTAGAGAGGCTGCTTCCTCATTACCAAATGGATGCATCATCCCACTGTGACTAAACTCCTGGAGACAAAAAAAAACAAAAACATCTAAAGTCACAGCAAAGCTTCCCTCAGCACATCTCGTAAAAGAATATCCAGCATAGGGATCCTGGAACATAACAGGTCTAGAATCAGAAGCTAATCTGTAGCTATTTCACGCAAAGCATTTTAAAGTTTGAAATCCATTCCCAGCCAGTGATATAATCAATACCACAATATTTATTCAAGTAGATGATTTAAGCATTATCACTGTGAAACATGCACTGAAAATTGCCTAGAACAGTGGTCCCCAACGTGGTGCCCACTGGCGCCATGGCGCCCGCCGGGCCATTTCTGTGCGCCCGCCGAGTGATCGGGGCTGGCCCCGCCCACAGGCGCGCAAGCATAGGGGCGGCGCCAGCCCCGGGCGTGCGGTGCATGGGCTGTGCCAGCCCCGGGCACGTGGCATATGCGCATCCCCACCTCTGGGCACGTGGCACAGGAGCGGTGCCGGCCCCGGGCATGCAGCGCCTGGGCTGTTCTGGCCCTGGGCACACAGTGTATGGACGTCCCCGCCCCTGGGCGTGCGGCATAGGATTGGTGCCGGCCCCGGCCGCGTGGCATATGGGCAGCCCCACCCCTGGGCGTGCAGCACAGGAGAGGCGCCGGCCCCGGGAGTGCAGAGCATGGGTGGCGCTGGCACCGGGTATGAAGTGTATGGGTGGCCCTGCCCTTGGGCACGGGCGCAGCCCTGCCCCCACGTGTGTGTGCGGCCCCACGCCTGGCACGTAAGTGGCCCCACCCCCGGGCGCCCCGCAGCCCCAAAAGGTTGAGGACCACTGGCCTAGAAAACCAATGCTCCCAGGAAACATGAGGGTTAACAGAGAGCACTGGCCCCTCTCACTTCTGTATGGACAGTAAAGTGCAATATCTTGACAATCCAGAAGTCTGTAGCCAACAGTGCAGCTACAGCATGAGCAGTTCCATCTCAAGCTTTTTCCACAGTGGGAGCTTCTCATCCCTATATATTATCCTCATCCTACCAACTGTCTCAGTTAGGATCTAAATCACCTTAAAGGAGAAGAAAGTTTAGTCTCCAAGGTCTATTCATTTACAAGTGACAAGTAGCACAAGAAATGCCCGAACTGATCCAACTGGAATAATCTAGTCTAGAATACAGACTGAAGAGCTGGAATCATGTGCTTAGGGAAGTTGCAAACAAACAACAACAAACACCCACCACCACCACCATACTAAAACCCAATAGGGCGCGTCGTGTTTGTGATACAGGCACATGCATTAGCACCCGGTCAGAGAGGCACCGAACACTTTCGCACAGCTGCCTTCCCCCAACCCACACGCTGTGAGCCCTCCCATCAGTGGATTTCCCCCATCTCGCTCCCCATCCTCCGCTGTCCTACCCCTGAAACACGGACCGTCACCCGGAGCATCAGCCTCCGCTCACATCCAGAGACCCCCCCCGGTAAGCTCCTCTCCAGCCCGCTTTCCCT